TATATATATATATATATATGTATCGTGAAATATCGAAGGAAAAAGTTATCGTATGTAGGTATGGAATATGGGTATGGTATAATAAAGATATCATCAAATTTGTTCATCTTTAATTAGTTTATTTACTTGTAATAATATTATTTTCATCGTATATATAATAATTCTATTTACTCCTTACTATTTATATATAATAATATAGTGTATTTATGTTCATTATGTATAATATATTATCTACATTTATAATCCCTATGAAAGGCATCTCCAAACAGACTTCAGATTTACTTTTTTTTTTTTTTTTTTTTTTTTAAAATATCTTATTTATTCATAAAAATACAGGGGGTTTACGCGCCACCTGTGAAGTCTAACCTGTTTTGCCCGGAACCGATAGCTTCAGATTTTTTATTGGTCGGATGAACAACATTATATTATATCTTACAATTCTTAATTCTTGCAATAACAACGAATTTATTATTATGATTCTCAACATCATCTATGTACATATAATTATGGAAACAAGTTCGACGATTTTTCTGCTCGATTACAATCTTGTAAGCGCGTCCACGTTCTATTTCTCGTTGTATGATATTCTTTTATATATAATCACATTGTTTTAATATATAATCATCGTCACTGAATAAAACGATTTGATGAAAATCAAATAATTTTTAGAATTATTCTGATTATATGAAAAACGAAATGCAGTGGAAATGCAACAGGTAAACTGAATTATTCAATGAAATCTTGATTAAGGATCAAAAATAAGTAAAAAATTAAAATGGAAATTTTTGCAAAATATTTATATAAAAGTATATACACATTTTCTTTTTCATCGACTAGAATATTTAATTAATTAGTAAAATATTTGATTTTCGACGTATTAATGTAATGTAAGACAAATTACTTGGAAAATTTTCAGTCTGTTTTCAATATATATTGTTCTTTTAAGTATTATGAAATTACGGAATTATTTCAACTACACATATAAATTCTGTGTTTGAATTAATAATAAAATTTAAACTTTAAACTAAATTTGCAAAATTTATAAATAGAAGAATTTGTAACGAAATATTTAAAAATAATTTCTTTGAACAAAATTCTTTAAAAAATTGTAAAATGTATAAAATAAAATGCATCAATAATATTTAAATCATATCCATATGATGTGGAATTATCGTTTATTTAAAAAAAATAAATAAATAAAAGAAAGTATATTCAGTGTAAAGATTAAAATTATAAATAATTATAATTATTATAAATAAATTATCGTTAATCGAATCAGCATAAGAATTTAAAAGATGTTGTTTGAAATAATTTAACAAATATTTTTATATTTAAATCAACGAGATATTGAATTTCGCGCGCAAAAGTTGAAAAATGATTAGCAGTAACGTAGCATTCGGTTCCCGGCAGAGCAGTAACTCACGCGGCGCCCAAATCTCAGTTACAAAAGGAATAGTCGAAGGTAAACGAGATGATAAAAATGTATTTCCTAAACGTAGGTAGAAATTGGTAACTTTGACTCACTCATTGAAAAAGTATTTCTTCTTGCCAATCCGGCATTCGTGTTTTCTTTCTGCCCGTCGTTTTTGGGTTAACGTTTGCATTTCGCGCTTCTTCATTTATACCGTGACAAGCAGCATACTTCAGTGTTAACCGATTTTATTCGAAGTGATGGTGCGCGTTTGAAATTTCGGAGAAAGTGTTGTAATTTTAACGAAGCAATAACGAAATATTAGTGGATTTATACGGATCTTGATGAAGATCGACGATAGAAGAAAATATATCGGTGAGTGAAATATATAATAACATCTTAATTTAGAAATTTACGTACAAAAATTAATTTAAAGTTAATCGTATCGACATTTAACGTTTATTTCGATGTCAACTTGACAAACATTACTCTATATTAATAATTTTTCGATCGTTATTAATCGTTTCGAAAGAAATACAAGTTTTTATCATCATTTTGAATATTCGAATAATTGAAATTTAAACGATGGAGTGAAAA